ACCTGCTTAATTGATGATGGATTCATTTTTTTTTTTTTAAACAATCATATACAACAACAACGGCATACTTATGGCTTTGTAATTTTCTCGGAAATTTCCTGGTCAAAATAATCTAATTTGCCGTTCTTTTCCAACATATTGAAAACGTTTATTTTCTTTATGTTAAATTTTATACTGCCTGTAAAGACATTCTTTCTATAATCAGTACCAAATTACATAATTATTTTCAGGAAACGTCCTATGAATTTACATTGGGTTAAACCGGCCTTGTTTAAAACTATAAAGATTTTATAAAGTACTGATTATTTGCTGATTTAAAAAGACAACAACCAAAAAACAGAGTTTAGGCAACAGTTTTCTTGTGATTTTACAAATAAACAAAAAGGAAATTCGCTAACAGAAAGGCGCTATACAAGTACAGGTCCATTTACCATTTACCATTTAACATTTTTCGAATGCTGTTTTGAGAATGACACAAGTTTTGGTTTTCACAAAGTTTGCTGCTTCAGTGTTTTTAGATCTTTTTGTCAGATGTTTCTATGGTATACTGAAATATAATTACAAGCATTTCATAAGTATCAAAAGCTTTTATTGACAATTACACTGAGTTCATGCAACAAGTCAATATTTGCAGTGTTGACCCTTCTTTTCCTGACTGATGGCAGCCTGTTTTTGCATAAATCAATGCTTGGAGTTTGCCAGTTAGTCACTTAGTTATCACTTTTGCCTTATAGCAAGGTGCTCCATCATGCTGGAAAAGGCATTGTTCATCACTGTTCTTGGATGGTTGGGAGAAGTTGCTCTCGGAGGACGTTCTGGTACCATTCTTTATTCATGGCTGTGTTCAGGCAAGATTGTGAGAGAGCCCACTCCCTTGACTGAGAAGCAACCCCACACATGAATGGTCTCAGGACGCTCACCTTTTCTTCTCCGGACAAGCTTTTTTTCCAGATGCCCCAAACAAGGGGATTCATCAGAGAGTATGGCTTTAGCCCAGTCCTCAGCAGTCCAATCCCTGTACCTTTTGTTTTTCCCTGATGTTTTTTCTGGAGAGAAGTGGCTTCTTTGCTGCCCTTCTTGACACCAGGCCTTCCTCCAAAAGTCTTCGCCTCACTGTGCGTGCAGATGCACTCTCACCTGCCTGCTGCCATTCCTGAGCAAGCTCTGCACTGGTGGTGGCCCGATCCCGCAGCTGAAACAACTTTAGGAGACGGTCCTGGGGCTTGCTAGACTTTCTTGGGCACCCTGAAGCCTTCTTTACAACAGTTGAACCTGTCTCCTTGAAGTTCTTGATGATCCGATATAAATGGTTGATTTAGGTGCAATCTTACTAGCAGCAATATCCTTGCCTGTTAGGCCCTTTTTGTGCAATGCAATGATGACTGCACGTGTTTCCTTTTGGCATAACAGTTGGTAACAGAGGAAGAACAATGATTTCAAGCACCACCCTCCTATTAAAGCTTCCAGTCTGTTATTCTCCAACACTCTCACCTGTGTTAACAGCTGGTCCTTTTGTGGCAGGGCTGAAATGCAGTGGAAATGTTTTTCATGGCAAAGAGGGACTTTGCAGTTAATTGCAATTAATCTGATCACTCTTCATAACACTCTGGAGTATATGCAGTGATTAATATTTGTGTCATTCTCACACTTACAGGTACACATCTAATAATAATTATTATTATTATATATAACAACAACAATAATGATGATAATAAGAATTCTTATAATGATGATAAAAACAATCCTAATTATTTTTATTATGATAATAATAATATATATAATTATATTTATATATTATAATAATTATAATTACTGTCTTTATTTACTGTGTATCATATCCTGGCAGGAACTTGGCTAACTGTGACAAAACTATGCAAAACTATTTAGCTCAATAAGTCAGACCTGTGATTGGAACTATTATTTCTATATCTATATTTATTCGCTGATGAAATAAATGTGTAAGTAAGAGTGTCTCTATGAAGAGTTACTTTAACTCTTGGGATGTCATATGTTGTGTGCCTCTCCTCTCACACTATGTTGACTTTAAATGATGGAATTTTTCTGCTAGTGAAATGCATAAACTTTACTTTAAAATATTAGCCTAGCATATACACAGCTAAAATACACAGTATTTGCATGTCAGATGCTCAGAGCAACCTCAGATTGATGTGGTGGACCTGATAGCTCAAATGTCAACATTCATTTGACAAGTTGACAATTTATCAGAGGCATCTTTGACAGTTATATTTTTAAACTTAACATCACAATGTTGTTTACATGAGTTGACCTCAGATGAACTAGAGTCATACTGATACCGATACCAGTATCAGAAATTCCTCCGATACACCCTAAAATGTGGTATTAGGTCGCAGCAAGTACAAATAGCTGTGCGCCCTGCTTCTTTCCAGCATTGTCTCTTTCGACATTTACTCCGTATTGGCTGCAAAGTTGAGGTATCTGAGTCGGTTGGGAAGGGATAAATGGTATGGGTAAAGTAAATATGTCTTTCTTCTCTAGATAAACTTGGGGACAACAGTGACCATGACATCTAATGGGAGACAGGCAGCTGAAGGACAACGCCAACCCTCTCAAGGTGCTGGTCAATCAGATCAGCAGGCATCAGGCCAGGCTCCGTCTCTTCAGTCAAATGGGACCACTCATCAACAAGGACAGGGAGGACCCCGAATGATCCGGATCACCCACCAGACCATGGAGCCTGTGGTTATGATGCAGATGAACATTGACGGTATGTCTTCATAGAACCTGACTGTAGATGTGCCACGCTCACACTCTGTAATTAGTTTGAAAATGTGTGTGTGTGGGGCGCCCGGTTAGCTCAGTGGGTAGAGCTGGCGACCCTTGCAGCAGCGGCCCAGGGTTTGAATCCAACCTGCGGCCCTTTGCTGCGTGTCATCCCCTCTCTCTGCTCCCCTTTCCTGTTTGTCTTTGGCTGTCACTATCATAAAGGCAATAAAAAGCCCAAAAAAAATACTTTAAAGAAAAGTACACTGGTACACAGATTCTTAAATCTGCAATCACATATAAATTATTGTGTAAATCAATAAGTACAGAAATAAAATATAATATAATATATTGGGAAGGAAATTATCAGGACATAAATTAATACAGAAATAAATTAATGTGGAATTGAAAACAATGGTCAAATATATGAATACAGAAAAATAAAATATTCTTTCTTTATTTAGTAGGTAATTTGTATAATTTTTTTTTTTTGTTGTCATATTTGCATGTTTATACCAGGTGTAAATCTATTTATTGGGAAAAAAATCTGATTCCTCTGGCTCATCCAAGCTAATTAATTTTTCTTCTTGTTGAATAGGTGAGTCAGCTGCTGGTTCTCAGGTTCCAGGACAACAAAATATTGCTGGTCCCGGACAGCCTGGTGAGTGCGTAGTTTGTTGCTGCCTCCTTCTTATAGATGCAGTAATTGATTTATTTGGGTCAAAAGAGCTTTAAGTGGACAAACTCATGGATCTACCTGTTTCTGTATCCAGGAGTGACACCTGTCCACTTCCCTGGACTGCCCCCTGAGTTCATGCAGGCCATTGTGCACCAGATCTCCCACCAAGCTGCCACCATGGCTGCCGCAGCCTCAGCAAGCCACTCAGCGCAGATGGGGCCTGGCCCTGGCTCAACACCCAGCGCTGAGGGAACTGCTTCCCCACAGCCCCCCCACCCTCCTCAGGCAAGGGTGGTCATCACCAGGCCATCCTTCTCCCCCCGCATCCCACAACCTGTGGGAACAAGGGGAACCACTATCAACCTGAGGGCCGCAGTACCCACAGCTGGCCAGCAGCCAGGACAGGTAACACTAACACACATAGATTTGGTCTATATAACATTGGAAATTTCCCAGAGCACAACATAATGTCATCAAATGTATTGTTTTGTTAGACCAACCGTTCAAAACACAACAATGTTAAATTCACTATAATAAGACAAGGAAAAGCAGCACATTTTCACATTTGAGAAGCTAAAACGTACAATATGTAATTTCTGCCACTAGGGGGTCTCTCGCATCAAAACAATAACAATAAACAAAGTTTGATGATGTCGTGAAGCAGCGTGGGTTTATGGGAGTTGTTGTTTTCACCACCATTGCCGTCAGCTTCGCCCAGTTAGGATTCCTTCAGTGTTCATGGTTCA